CCTGACTTCTTACACACAGGGATGCACTGTTGCTGGGCATGGAGGAAGTGCCACTTAAATACTAACCAGCTCTCTTGGGCCCCCCTTCCTTCTAGAGCTCTAGCCCATGGGATTCTTCCGAGGAGGTCTCTGAAGAGGCTAAAGTTGGCCCTCCTAAAGTCCATGGTTGCAAGGCTACTTACAGCCCTGCCTCCTCCTCCTCGGATCCTGAACTCCACCGACTCATGGTCACTGCAGCTAAGGCTACCCCTCACCTTCACATCTCCTACTAGGCCCTCTCTATTTGTTAGCACGAGGTCCAGCAGCTCACCTCTCCTCGTCGGCTCCTCCACACCTGCATCAAAAAGTTATCATCAACGCACTGCAGGAACCTCCAGGACTGTTTGTGCCTGGCTGTGTTGTCCTTCCAGTTGATGCCAGGGTAGTTGAAGTCCCCGTCACCACGTCTCCGTGATTCCAATGAGATCATGACACTGGGACCGCACACAGATCTCTATTTCCTCTTGCTTATTCCCCATGCTTCGCGCGTTGGTGTACAGGCGTTTCAGGGAAGTAACTGAGCCTGCAGGTTCTCCAGGAGGGATGAAAGAGGACTCTCTATAATCATTTCCTATCCTCACTTCCCCACTAGCATGCTCCTGCTGGAAGCCATCTGACCTTGGCTGTGTGGTACCGCTCACCGTGTCTGTGACACTCCCCTTCCCCCTTCTCGTCTAGTTTAAAGCCCTCCTAACCAAGTTGGCCTGTCTCTTCCACAGCAAGTTCTTGTGAGAAGCAGGTGAGAAAAAAGTTCATGATCTGACTCCCAAACTCCTGAAGCCCCATTGAAGTCAAAGTCCTTGACACCCTCTCTCCCATAATTCCCCACCTCCCCCAGAACACCAGGAAACTCATAGTTCGAGGGGAAAAAAAAAAAAAAAAGGGGGCGTTTTGGCAGCACTGCACAATTAAGGGCAGCATAAAGCATGCCTAGGGCTGTTCATAAACCCCTCAGCCACAATGTCACCTTCATATACATTTCTGTATGCATACATTTCTGAAGCACTAGAAGAACTAACATCTGAATGCTTCTTGCATACTCCTAACACTACTGAGAACTCCTTGAATTGCTAGTAGGGTTAGAAATCACTCTGCCCCAGCCATTCTGTGCTAATTCTCTTAATCACCTTCTGCAACTTATTGTTTCCTGATACTCAGAATATACATTTTGTCTGGACCAGGGCAGGATCTTTCAATTTGACTGTATTAATTTCTAATTTTTTAATGAAAGGCATTAATCCAAGCATAAAATTTTACTCTACTGATATTCTGACAAAGGTTCTGAAATTTGCACAGAATTTGTATTCACACAGTCACTTCCATTTAGCAAACTGTCTTCAACTTAAAAATCATATGCTTCTAGATTTTAAGATAAGAAAAAACAAAGAGAGGAAAAGAGAGAGAGAGAGAAAGAAGGGAGGAAGGAAGGGAGGGAGGAAGGGAGGGAGGAAGGGAGGGAGGGAGGAAAAAAAATCCATATTCCATCAGGGAAGAGGGTTTGCTGGACTCCTTGGCACCTGGACAAATCCTTCTAGGTAAAGATTGGCAAGTGATCATTCCGAGTAACAGAGATACAGCCCATTAATACTGTCTCACAAATTTCCAGAGTCCAGGGAGAATAGGCCAGTGTTTCCCATTCCCAGGAACTTTGTGACATCCAATTTTAGATGGTCTTTGACTTCCATTTAAGCGCTCCCCTCTGGCTGTGGTCCTGAACACAATCCTCCTACGGATTTTTTCCCATTGCTTGTCTACAGACTGGGGTTCCTGCAACCTCTTCAGCATCCCAGACTCCAAGATTTACTCACCATGCATTCATCGGATCCATTTGATCCCAGTTCAGTGGTTTGGGTGGGTAAATTAGACAGAAATAAAATCAGGCACAGTTCAGTATGCCAGGTACTCTGTAGGGATTCCCCATTGCCTGGGGAACACACAGCTGGCACATTTCCTCTAAAGATCCAACCGTCACACTTTTCTGGGCTGCTGGAATGGAGATCTCCAATGAAATAATCTCTGTTTATGGTCTTTTCTTTGGAAATATCAATGGGAAGCATCGCTCAACATAAAGCAATCAGATCTAACCAGCACATGCTGGAGGCCTGTGAAGAAGCACAGCTCTATGGAGGACAATTCCTCCCCAATTCCCAATTAATTCTGAGCACAGAATTAAGAGATGTACAGACCCAAAAGTTAAAAATATTGTTTTCCAACAAATTCCTTGCTAGTTCCTACAAAGGAGGAGAGAAAAATAAAAATAATAATTATGCTGTAATTTAGATTAGCAGTTGTCAGAATATCTTTTTTTTCAAGTTTCTTTTCCTTTTTTTAATTTCATGATTTGGCATCATTAGTCATAAAATTTTGTGATGATCTTAAGTAAACAAACTCTTTTCTAAAATTTCAGTTTAATTTCTGCTTCACTCCTAAGCATCACTAGGTGGAGATATTGCACAGCACAATGTTGATGCCCTTTAATGGCATTGTTTTCATGAAAGGAAGAATTTTGTCCCTTAATTCCACAGCTATTTTATATGGTAGAATTTTATTATTTCCTCATCAGTCCTCACGATGACATCCCCTGACCTTTTCTCATTCTCAATTTTTGTCATTTTGGATATATCCCTTCCTCAGAAATAAACTCACTCATCTAGTAATTTAGGCACCCAACAACATGACCCAACACTCCAGAAATGCTAAACTTGCCAAAGTTATCAGTTTTTTAAAAGTGACAGCAGTCAGTGCTGGCACATCCTTGGCTTATTTAAATATATATACAAATATATCAAGTCATTCAGATTTGGGTTAAGGAGATGCATTTTATGAAACAAATGAAAAAAAAAAAAGGCTTTTCTTGCAAAAATCATCGTGTGTCTCATTCTTCTTAATCTCTAAGGAGAATTAACTCCTATCTACTCTGAAAACACAGGGATCAGAGCCAGGTATCTATCAGAACCAGATGCCACGACCCAGAAGAGAGAGTACACAGATGGTAGGGGGACATATGGCACATAAGTTCTTTCCCACCATGAGTGTCCCTGTCAAGACAGCTCTTTAGCTTTTTTCACTATTTGTTCCTGTATGCAATATGCAGGGGAGATAACTGCCAATTTTTTTTCCCTCTATTTAAAGCAGCAGACGAATCTTACTTCTTGTTGTTCGCAAGTATCCTGGTTATTCACCCTTTCAGAAAAGCTGAACCTCCTTTACCTATCAGTACATTCTTTACTCCAACAAAGATGCACTTTTCCTGTCGTCCTATGCTCCATTTGCAATAATGTGCTTGTGGCACACTTATCCAAAAGGTAAGTTAACACATAGTTAACATAGTTATCATTCCCTCTGAGGGAGAAGGAGGCTGAGAGCAAACAGGTCAGATTTCTTTCTAAATACAATTACTTGTCCAAGACACCCACTTTTGTGAGGCAGAAGGAAGACTGAATTATGCATATTTGAAAGAGGGGAAAAAAGCACTCAGAGGTATGAGTATTAGGAACAAAAAATACTTTTAAGGACTTCAAAGCAGCCCTTCCCATCTCTCAGAAAATTTGTATACATTCACACCATAAACTGAGCAAGAGAGCATCAAAGATTAAAAATAACCACTACTGACTAGAGAAGAGATGAGGTAGAGCTAGGGTATGTTCCCATGAATAACACAGGAGGAGGAAGCACTCCCCTAACAGACATCATTCATGAGACAAGTGGCAAGATAGAACATATACTTTAAAACATGCTCACAGAAATGAAGCACATCAGGCTTAGTTCAGAAAATCCAATGACTCCATTCTCAAAATTCCCCTTCTATCACAGTTACTGTTGTGTCCAAAGATGTGAGGACAAGATCAAATGAGTGGGTGGGGACAGAAAAATAATTTACCTACCTAAGTCTGGATATCTGGATGTCCAGATATCAGTATCTGGAGCAATTCAAAACCATCCATTCAGGAGTAGAAAATTCAGATATTGAACTTAACATCATCTCAGTCATTTTATGATCTTTCCAGTTTTCCTCAGCCAAACTTTCCTGCTTTTCCATATTTGTAGGCTCCAGTGCTGCATATTCTGGGCTTTCAGGATGGCAAACATAATCCTTTGGTAGATTCTCAGTGAATTTCCTGTTTGCAGTTAGCAGAGGTGAGATGTAGAACAAGAACACTTGTTCTCCTGAGTAGTAGCCCAGCCTGAGAAGCTTAGAATTTGCAAGAAATCTCCAATATTTTCAACTTCTTGACAATTTAAAAGACAAACTTTAGAAACACCCCAATGACGAGATAGCACAGGGAAAAAATAAATGTGTGAAAGGTCACAGATTCTACTCCATTTGCTTAAAACAGTTGGTATCCAGCTGTTCACTTGATATATATTTAATGTTTTAAAGAGTTTTAAAAATACTTTTTGTATCATGCATTTCCCCACTGCTTCAAAGAGCAAGAATGAGGCAACAGGAGAGGACCTCAAAGCTTGCAGAAGGCAGATTCTTGTGGCAACAAGCAAGAGAATCTGTCACAAAGGGCAAGAAGAAGTAGAACAGAAAGCCCAGGAAAAATGCAGATTTTGCAATCAGATCTTTCATTTATCAACTGCAGTTTCCACAAAAAAAAAAAAAAAGATATAGTGGATATTGCATTATATGGACAACAGTCTACCACCAGCAGCAACATTTATTTCATATAGCTGTGTGAGACAAACACAACAAATATTGTTGCTATCCATAGACTAAACAGAAATAAAGTTGCATCGATTTTTTGTTTTTGGGGTAATTTGCAGGAGGGGTGGGTAGTTACTTGGTCCCCACCAAGTCTTGGTCTACTCCTCAAGCAAAAAGGTCCATCTGTAATACACAGAATTTGTGAAGAAAACACATTTTTCAGAATTACCTTCTCAGTATTATTAAGCCAAGAGCATCTTAATTTTCATTCACCGGAGAATTGTTCAAAGATTTTGGCAACAAATATACTTCAGAAGATGGGTTTTTTTCTGTGTGGCATTTGGTAGCGTACATTTTTCCAGAATTTTGTACATGCAGAACAAGACTCCTCTGAGAAGTCCCCTTTCCATTGGATAGCCCCATGTTTTTGCTTAATGTATCTGATTGATTCTGGCATGCTTGCGTAGTCCTGTATTTTATCCATTTCTATAAGAATCACTTTAATCTCATCACAGATGAGAGCATTATATATAGATAGCTGTTGTTCAGAGGCGTCTTCGAACATGCAGCAACTAGATGCTTCTGATTGCAGAATAATCATCAATCTTCTGCTTTGCTTAAGGGTTTCATGAGCAACACTGACCACAGCTGTAAATTATAAAAGAATAATCAAATTCTGTGTAGAAACATCACAAACGATGCAAAATATTTTGTAATTTTAAAACTGGGATTATACGGAGGAGTGGCAAAATGAGAGGATTGGTAAATCTAAGACCTCCCAGTAGTGATTCATGATTCAAATCCATTACATGATATTACTGAGAAAAATGATTTTCCTCAGGCCTCAGTAGCAGATGTCTTTCAAAAAACCTCTATAATGTAACTAATGTGGCTGAAAGCTACCAAAACCTTTAAAAAGAAAGTACCAACCCTCATAACATCAGCGCAGACTGTTTGTTAAGGAAACATTATTCTGTACATTAAAAAATAAATTTATACAATTTTAAATCTGGTTTCAAAAAAAAAAAAGGATTTTAATTGTTTATATAATCTTATCCTAATCCCACAAGAATATGTAAAAAGACAATATATTAATTCTACTAGTTAAATCATACCTTCCCCTGGTGAATCATCCCTTCCTAGTATAAAAAGATTATATCCACACTGTCGTTCTAAAACATCGGGTAGTATTCTAAGAACAAAGGTTTCCAGAGGATAGGAGCTGCTGCTTTCATTGCCTTTTGGATACAGGACATATGCATCATATATTTTCCCATCTAAAATAAACAAAAATATCCTATTAGAAAATTAAAATGAACAGTAGCATGCCTTGTTACAAGGTTTGATTTTGGACTGTTTAAAATAGCAATGAGGGCAGATTCTGCTATCTGTCAAGGGTAACACTGGGGCATGTAAACACTGTACTAATTAAAAGGAATTTGCCAGCAAGGGAGCTAGATGCAGGACCCTGGGATCTGCAGAAAAGATCCCCAAGCCCAGAGGTCCCAAGATATTAAGAAAGTATGTGGGAAAGTATTGCAGGACTTTCTTCACAACCTCTTCTGAAACACACTCGACAACAATTCTCTCCTCTTTTGCTTTTTCAGAGTACCTGGAAAATGGCAACTCTTTATCATAATATTTGGGGGTGGGGAGGGAGGCTGAGAGGAGAAGACGACATGTTTTTAGAGTTAAATTTGCATAATAAACAGGAATGATGCAAAGAAATCAAAGCAAAAATCAAACTTAACAAGTTAATTTTAGCTGAACAAGTTACAAAATACAGTATCATTGATATTTTCATTAGGACTCTATTAATGTTTTCTGGGAAACTAAACTTTTAAACAAATAAAATCTAAGTTAAAATGATTTTTCTGTGAAGCATTTCAAACAGCCATGAATAAATGTTAGCTATCTCTATGCAAGTAATGCATCTTCTTTCAAACTCTAGGGAACTTCATCAGGGTCTGAGGTGTTGCCACAGCACTTGTGTAATAATACAATAATGTTGAATTTATTCGCATTTTTTCACCTGTCCAATATATTGTCAACACCACAGCAATAAAACCACAAAATAAAAACTACAAAATAGAAAATTGTATCACTTTTTCTCCTGTATGTATGTAGCTATCATATCTTGCAAGAATTAGAAAGGTAAATAAGGGTAATGGGAATTGGGTAAGAGAATTTACAGAAAAACAAAAATCTCACCTCCGAGAAAATAAGAGTTTGATTTTCAATAAAAATGCTTAACAAAAATTTATAACCAGTTGGTCTACAGGATGCAGCTCTGCTGACACCTATTGATTGCCATCAGAGTGACCATAAATCTACATGCAGAGAAACTACATCACAGAAAAGTAAAGAGCATCGTACTAATTTATTTTTGACCTATGCTTACCAAGACTGCTATGGACAACATTCAGTGTTTCCTATCTGAACTAGGACATGCATATACATATGACTAGGAAAAAAAATAAATAAATCAGTACTGTAGAAAATTTCAAATACATTCTACTAAATAATCACGCTATTTTGACAGGTAAAGGTAATTTAAAAAATAGATGGACGTGTTACAGTGTCACAGCTTGTCACACATACCTTCCTTCCTTACAAAACCACAACCTGAATTACGATACCAAAGTACAAAGTCAATCTTGAAAGTCTTGTAGATTATTAAAGTAATGACTGTTATAAACAGCAAAGATACCAGGCCTCCAATAAGCCATCTCCGTAAATCAAGGACTGCACAAAAACACAAGCATAAAATTAAAAGATGACAAATTTGTTCAAATGTGATCTTTTAAACAAACACAACAAAAAATAACAAAATTCCTTACCTCTGCGTTTTAATGTGATATAGGATGTAACCTGCCCAAACGCATTTGAAGCGTGACAGACAAATGGTTGTTCATAATCTTCATTGCACACTTCTGATATTATTAGTTTCATAGTAAGCACAGGGCGTCCATCGTGGGAAATTTCTTCCCTGTGCAAAAAGCGGTGAGTAGACCAATAAAACCATTGACTTTCACAGACTCACAGAAGGGTTGAGGTTGGAAGGAACCTCCAGAGACCATCTAGTCCAACCCCCCTGCTTAAGCAGGGACACCCAGAGCACGTGGCACAGAGTCGCATCCAGGCGGGGTTTGCATATCCAGGGAAGGAGACTTCACAACCTCTCTGAGCAGCCTGTGCCAGGCCTCTGTCACCTTCACAGGAAAGAAGTTCTTCCTCACATGGAGATGGTTCTCCTGTGTTTCAATTTATACCCATTACCCCTTGTCCTGTCACTGGCCACCACCAAGAAGAGTTTGATCCCATCCAAGAGGATTCTCCCCTCAGGTATTTGTACATATTGATAAGATCCCCTCTTAATCTTCTCTAGGCGAAACAGGTCCAGCTCACTAGGTCTCTCCTCATAAGAGAGATGCTCCAGTCCCTTAATCATCTTCATGGCTCTATGCCAGACCCTCTCTAGAAGCTCCACATCCCTCTTGTACTGGGGAGTCCAGAACTGCACCCAATACTCCAGGTGCAGCCTCACCAGAGCTGAGCAGGGGGGCAGGATCCCCTCCCTCGACCCGCTGGCAACGCTCCTCCTGATGCAGGCCAGGATCCCATCGGCCTTCTTGGCCACGAGGGCACATTGCTGCCTCATGGTTAACCTGTTATTAACCAGGACTCCCAGATCCCTCTCCACAGAGCTGCTTCCCAGCAGGTCAACCCCTAATCTGTCCTGGTGCCTGGGGTTATTCCTCCCCAGGTGCAGGACCCTGCACTTGTCCTTGTTGAACCTCAGGAGGTTCCTCTCTGCCCAAATTACCAACCCATCTAGGTCTCTCTAAATGGCAATAACAGCTTTCTGGTGTCAGTCACTCCACTCAATTTTGTATTAGGTACAAACTTGCTGAGAGTGCACTCTGTCTCCTTATCCGAGTCATTGATGAGCAAGTTGGAACAGCACTGGGCCCAGTATAGACCCCTGTGGGACATCACTGGTCACAGGTCTCCAATTAGATTCTGCCCTATTTATCATGACCTTTTGAGTTCTGCCATGCAGCCAGTCCTCAATCCACCTCACTCTCCACTCATCTAACCCACACTTCCCGAGCTTCTCCATGAAGATTATATGGGAGACAGTGTCAAAAGCCTTGTTGAAGTCAAGGTAGACAACATCCACGGTTCTCCCCTCATCCATCCAGTTATCCCATCATAGAAGGCTATCATGTTCAGCAAACACGACTTCCCCTTGGTGAATCCATGCTGACTACTCCTGATCACCTTCTTTTCCTTCACATGCCTAGAGATAGACTCTAGGATGAGATGCTCCATCACCTTTCCAGGGATGGAGGTGAGGCTGATTGGCCTGTTAATTTCCCGGCTCTTCCCTCTTGCCCTTTTTGAAGGCTGGAGTGACGTTGGTTATAGGCCCTGCCAGTTGCCTCAGCACTCTTGGGTGCATCCCATCCATGCCCACATGTTTACACCACAACCATTTGGCAACGGTCATTTTTGTTTTAATCGTGTCTACTATGTTTCAGAATAGATAAGCAAGCATATTATAGGAGAGAAAGCCACACAACAGTTGGGCATTTAGTTACTGGCATTTAGCACAGACATCAAAAAACTTCGCTTGTTTGTTTGAAGATACTTTTCTAATACGAACTAAACTTGTGAGAAGATACTATTTATTTCACACACACGCACAAAACAGTTTAGAAAAGAAACAGCTGTATTTAGTTTCTCATCCCCTATGAAAATATGTGGAGAGCTCCATTGCCCTCTGAGTGAAAAAAAAGTCTGCAGTGCGAAATGGCATAAAAGGTGGCCTCAGTACACAGGCCTCATCTTGTGGTAAGCAGCTCTGAGAGAGGGAGGACACCAAAGGTGACCCACAGCACACAACAACTTTGTGAGAGATTCCAGCTACCAGCAATGCTGTCTAAACTGCTGTTTCACCCCCTGGATCAGATCACACTCAAAAGAACTAAATATTTTTTAAGGAATGGGCTGTACTTTGAAAAGAACCAAGTTATTTCCCATACATTACACAAGGCCACAAAAATGCCAATGCACATTCAGCTAGCCATGCAAACCATGACATATGACTAGATGAATGTTACTCTAAAATAGCTAAGTAACTAACATTTTAATCACTAGTCAAGAGGAGGATACTACTATCTTGTTAATAGACGTTTGTTAAATAATAATAGTTATGTTAATAGACATATTAATAGACATGATAACATTCAATGTTATAATAATAATATGTTATGTTATATGATATGTTATATGTTATATGATGTTATAATATGTTATAATGTCTTTAAAGACGTTATAATGATTGCCCCAGGTCTTTCACTTTCTTGATGAGCACTAACAAAACTCAGCATTTTTTTGCTTTTTTTTGATGAGCACCTTGGTTTACTTATATTTCACAACTGTAATCTTGTAGATATTTCTCAATTCTTCCTCAGTTTCTCTCTCAAGCAGTGCCTGGACTTTATAAATACGTGTATTTTTTTTCTTCATAGCACCACTGTTAAATGAAGGCTGACCAAAAAAAAAAAAAAAGAAAAAAACCCTACGGTTTTTAGTTCTCAAACTGTCATTCATAACAGTTTTTTTCAGACTACCTTCTGTCCCAATTTTAGTTACTTTTTCTAAGTCAGGTCTATTTTCTTGCCCCCTAACTCCATTTAATGAATCTTTCATCATGCTCACCTTGTTTCCTGGTTGCCTTTCTCATGCTTTACTCAGTGCTTGACTCAGTTTTCCTCCCACACCCCAACTTATCAGAAACCAGAAATTTTCTTATTTTCTCCCTTTTTCCATTTTCTCATTCCACTGAGCTTCAGTTCAAATGTCATCATCAAAATCTTCCATTAGATCTTCATCTGATCCCAGGTTTCCTTCCCCAGCTTGAGGCTCTTTAACTCATGCTTCAGTTTCTCCCATAAAGCCCAGGTTCTACCTCTCACAACCTTGATGTGAGAGGAAACTGGAGAACACAGAAAAGAGGCGGAACTTCATGTGCCAGGATATGCATTAGCTAACTGAAAGTGGTCTCTACCTGAGCAGAGATTGTTTGGTAGAATCTATCACACCTATGAGATTCTCAGTCTTCACAGAGCACAGATTGGAAATTAAGATAGATTTTTATAATGAGCATAACCCCATGCAAAGTCCATGTGCCCATTGTGTTTCAAGCTCCTATAGCAAAGCAGAAAGTCAATTAGAGGAGGCAAGCATTAGAATTCTTGAAAAAAAGAAACTATTTAAGCAAGTAGAAAATGTTGCTAAATACTTTCATGTCAAAGGCAGTGAACTTTGATTGCTAAGCCAGTATTTTCTAATCTGAAAATACACTTACTCATATACTTACTCATAGGGTTTTTCAAAAATTCTGTTCATATAAAGTATATCAATATACATATCATTGCTTGTCCAAAACACGTCATACTCAGCAGCACCTGTTGCATTGCAATCCACTGTAATCTGTGAGCCTATAACATTATATTACAAAATGAAAAGTTTATTTCTATGCTCTAATTGAAGACCACAAAAAGCCCTGTCCACAGAAGCTCATAATGGCCAGCTAAGGATGGGAGAGCATCAGCTGGGAAAATAAATTTTTCTTCCTTATCCCTTTCAGAAAAGTTCCTCTAACAGAGATCTATACATTCAGCAATGTGCAGGTTGAAAAAGAGACTAGTGGGACCAGAAGCCAAATCGAGGAAGATGTC